CAGGATGAAAAACCTTTAAGTGTAACCAACGGTGACCGGGATGTCGAAGAGCCTACATTGAAGAAGGAAAGAGACATCCGGTTTGAGGATGATTAAGCCCATTCAATTTGCTTTATATCCGCCTTTCGGCTCAAATATGACTTGATTCCTTATATTCAAAATGACGCTCCAACAGCTCGTACCTCAGAACTAGACAATTCCACTTTTCTTCAAACATGCTACTTTATCTGTAGTCAGTAAGTAGCTTTGAATCCGAGCCAGATCGATTATTCAGGACTGATATAAGCCTACTTCCAGCATTCGGGCTTCGTTCTGATGTTCTCATAGAGTACAAAATCATGCCAACAGGCTCCCAAGTTAATCCAGGTAGGACCGTCCCAAATAGGAAATACTCGGCAAAACTTCAGAACCCCTGGGGCCTGAGAAGAACAGCCTACAAGTTCGGAACAACCATCGGTCCGCTCCGCGTGTCAACTGTCAACGGTCTCCGCATCTCAAACTGGTCTGTCTCTGTCCGATCGCTGCTTTGGTCGATAGTTGTAGGGGTATCTTGGTTGAATTAAGCGTCCGATGGGCTCACTGAGACAAAAGTTTGGGTCAAAATAGGAGAAAGAAGATGGACACCTTTGCGATCACGGAAGGCATCGTTCCCGAGAACAACAATCAAGATGGCCACGACGCCGAACGGGCCAGCTCAGAGCAGCAGCTCCCAGAAGAAGCGAACAAGTTTCAACGTGCCATTGCGGCCTGGAGAGGTACGTCATTATTCGCATGCCTTGTCTACCTTGAAAAGGTGCTGATATCTCTACTATTAGGCATCGACTTGACTACGACTGTCGCAAAGCTAGATGCTACGGCTTCGGATATTGTCGCTCAGCAGCGAGATGCACTTATACAGAGAAAGGATCTGGCCCAGAAGACAAAGGAATTTCGAAAGTTAGACGATGCTTCCAAGCTTGCGGAATACAAGGGTCTCCTGAAATGTCCGTCCTATCTCGGCAGCGCTCCATTTGATCATTCGAGCTAACGTATGGTAGCATATCAGAGCTTCATTGATCTTCTGACCAATCACGGGAAATCCTCCTCGTCCGCCTTTCTACAGCTGTACTCCTCTCTGTCAGAAGCTCCTGATCCTTACCCACTCCTTGAAGCCTCGGTCGACTCCCTCGTGCTCTCCGAGCAGACCGTCCCGAAATTGACATCCGAGAGAGACCAATTGCAGACATCTGTGAACCGCCTTACATCCCAATTAGAGGATACGGAAAAGCGACTACAGGAGGAGCGAGCCGCAAGAAAGCATTTGGAGGAGAGCCAGGAAACGAAGATAAAAGAGATCGAGTCGTCCTGGTCCGCCGTGTTGGCGGAAAAGTCGAACAACTGGGCCGCCAAGGAGAAGAGCTTGGAGGAGAAGGTTGAGAATCAGGAGCGCTTGCTGAAGGAAGTGAAGGCGAGCTACGAGGTATCTCAAAGGCTGGGCCAGGAGAACGATGGCGGTGATGGCTCCCAGCACGGGGCAACTGCTGCAGAACTAGAATTGGTGTCTGCCGACTTGGAAAAGACTAGCTTGCGACTGGCCGAGGTGGAGGCACGAAACGAGCAACTCCGGCTTGAGCTGGCTCAAGCCGTTTCACATTCGCAGGCTCCGCAGGCTACCTCTGTTGAGGACGATCCCGCCTATCTGCGCCTTCAATCAGAAAACTCATCCTTGTTGCGCAAGTTGGACGCCGCGCGATTTGATCGGGAGTCTGAACGTCACGCATGGGAATCGAAGCTCTCACAACTGGAGAGGCAGGGCTCGAAGGTGGCTGCGGAGCGAGACGAGCTGCGGTCGCGGTTGGAAAAGACTGCTGACTATGAAGATATCCGCCGCGAGCTGGAGATGATCAAGGTAGGACATAACCTATGGCAAGATAGCCGTAATTTCTTGCTGATTCTTCGCAGTCTATTGAGTTCTCTGCGGGTGATGCGGACGATGATGAGGCTGGAGATTCCACAGGCAATACTAACGGCACCAACGGTGCCCCTTTGAAACCTAAGGATGGATCCAGCGGTAATAGTCTAGAGGGACTGCTCTTGGCTCGCAATAAGAAGTTGACAGATGAACTTACCGTTCTTCGTGTGTCCCATCGTGACTTCCAAGGTCAGCTTGAACTTCTCCGTGAGGATCTCTCAAATACCAAACAGGAACTGGAGAAGTCCAAGCAGCTATCCACCACCCTTGAGAATGATCTGCTCCGTGTACAGCAAGAGGCGGCGAACGCTTTCCCATCATCCGCAATGTCCGTTGCCGGTACCTACAGCTCGAGGTACCCCCACTCCTCCAGGAGGGGAGCAGCATCCCCGACCTCGTCTATCATTTCAGGTTTTGATCAGGCGGCAGCATCCTCCAATGCAATGGACGCTATACGCGCCGGGGAGCCTGTGGGCGGTGGTTCCGGTCTGCTTCCTATGATACAGGCTCAGCGTGACCGCTTCAAGAAAAAGAATGCGGAGCTAGAAGAGGAGTTGTCGAAGATGTACAGCACGGTCAAGTCCTTGAGGCAGGAGGTTGCTTCCCTCCAGAAGGACAACCTTAGCCTTTACGAGAAAACGCGATATGTCTCAACGTACAGCCGTGGTGGAGCCTCCTCATCAGCCTCTGCCTATGCGAATAAACCTAGCAACTCCTCCGTCCATGTCTCCGCGGACACCCCTTCTGGCCTTTCACTAGACCGGTATCAGTCCGCCTACGAAGCTCAGCTATCGCCATTTGCTGCTTTCCGAGGCCGTGAGTCGGTGCGGGCGTACAAGCGTATGAGCTTGCCCGAGAGAATCGTGTTTTCGATCACACGCATCGTCTTGGCTAATCGAACCAGCCGAAACCTCTTTGCAGGGTATTGCTTCGCCCTGCATGTCTTACTGTTCCTAGTATTGTATATGATGAGTACCATGGAAATAGAAAAGCACAGTAGCGCCAATCTGGGAGCTGCTGCCGCTGCTGCGATGGCTGGCGGAGGCGGGTCTCGGAGTAGCAGTGGCCAGCTACATGGTGATGATTGGCAGCAGGAGGGTTTCAACCATGCAGCTTAGCGGCCATTTGACTCCTCTTCTTCTCTATTTTTGGCAGTCGGCGTTTACAAGGTCCGAGATATCTAGTTCTTCAGCTGAATACTACCTTCTGATTTATTTGGTCTCCGTTCCCAGTACGAAGCAGTCAACAGAGTCGAAGGTTTTAGGAGTCTGGTCCCATGCTACGGTTTCGTAATGACCTGGGGTGTCGGACACCCCTTGCTGCCATCGATGAGTACCTACTTATTTAGCAATGTCTTAGCATGTGGTGGTGTGGGCCCGCATGCATCTTAGCAGGTTTGATTACTCCTTACCCACCAGGCATCGGACTGTGGCCCTTGGTGAAAGGGTGCTACGGTAGAATGATGAAGTACCTGGCACTCTCTCGCCAGTCACAAAAAAAAAATACCGCCAAAATATACCCACAAAAAAATGTTGTTGGCCCGAGCCGCGGATCGAACGCGGGACCTCTCGCAGATATGCTTGGGGTTTATCCCTAAGCGAGAATCATACCACTAGACCACCCGGGCCACTGATGTTAGGGGACAGATTAATTAGCTATAGGAGCTGAAATGATATCTACGAAAAGGGGAAAAAGGATGGATTCTCTCTCCTACAGGATTTATACACAAACAGCCGGGAGTTCTAATGCATTTTCAACTTGATGTATGTTGGTTAATACTAGGGTCCTTCTATACCACTAGATCACCCGGGCCACTATGAAGATAGTGCGGTTTACTCAACAACATGTTCCATGAGACCAAAAATTGCGCATCGAGTCATACTTCTGGGCTGCTGGTGCTCTTTGGGAGGTAGAATATGTGCCTCTGGTACTTATCAGAGTTATGGGAACCAAGTACTGCTCGAGGACAGTCAATCACTGCACTTAATATCACCCTTGTCGAAGGCATTGATCACATTGAAATGTCTGCTTGGTGTTTACCCCGCGCTCGATATATTCCCAAGAATAACAACGATCTAAGCTAGCGGGTTAATATCATCAACACTCGCCCGTTGGACAACGAGACCAATTGCCCAATTACATTACTAGGAAAAAGGGCGAGGAATTATCCACTTATCGTCATGAGCCCAGACTGATTGACGCGAGTCAAGACCAGTCTCGTGGTCAATGGAAATCCGTCATTCTGCACACTAACCCAGGTTGGCATGATCCCTAGGCGCCGGCAATGCAAACAGGAGATATTATTAGATACAGAGAGAGGCCGGGAATTTCAATGCCAATCAGCACGACCATAACCCTGCCAGATATCGTCAAGCGGCATGCAAGCTCCGGCCGGTCAGAAATCGACAAGACTGCCGAGTCAGATGCACCAATCTGCGCCCGAGGAGGAGGTCTCTTCGGCAGCACAAAACGCCCGGTGAGCATTCCATGTCTCGACTAGAATACCGTCCAAGCTGAAGGATTCAACCAGCGCATACTGGCCCCAATGAGCGAGCGTCATGGCGCACGACTATAGCAGGCGGCTTCAGCGATAATGTGACTCGAGGCTGTTAATAGATCTAACCAGCCGGGTTTCAAGGCTAAATTGCATGTTACTATAATTTCTTCAATGACATACAGATGGAGGATCCGTGCGACTTGCAATGGACATGCAGCCATGCAAGCCTGGCGATTATATAGGATATTCATCCTGGCTGTTGAGTAGGGATCTTCTTACTCCCAGTCGTGTTCCTTGCTGTTCAATCTTGCTTGCTAGTGTGCGTTTTCCTCCTCGGCAGGTCCTCTTTGTCTACCATGTTGTCTTGAGTGTCAGCGTTGGACACCACGGACATTCGTACTCGATACTTCTCTACAACCCGATAATCTCCACTCTTCCTCTCCTCTTTGGTCTTCTCATATACGCAATACCCAACTGCATATTATCACCTCAACATAGCACCTAGCTGGACTAGGCTTTCTAGAGAAGCAATACACAGTATAAAGCACCAAGATGCGGCCCTTCCTCTTGCTCTTCGCCTGGCTGATGGCAACGGCCTACGCTGCTCCAGCTTTCTTCGACAATATTTATGACTACTCCGGCGAGCTGGCAGAGTTCTACAGCAAAGTGAGCGAGTATATCGACGATGCAAAGGATGTCTTCACTGCAAGAACAACGTGCGATCCATCCAAGATAGCCTTACCCGCCTTTGCATCTGGGCTGCCCTCTCCCGGCAACCAGAAGCCAATATATGTCGCCGTTGGCCGCGGAACACAGGTTAGCAATGACTGCACCCTCAGATCACACACTTCGTTGCATGGCTAACGTAGCTGCCCCCACGCAGAATTACAGTTGCGCAACCTCAACCGCTGACTCGAAACCGGTGGCCATAGGTGCCGTCGCAAGTCTTTACAACGCAACATGCATTGCAGCAAACTACCCAGATATGCTAGACATCCTTCCCAACATCGCCTATAAGCTGCAGCTACCCACCGACTCATGGACGACTCTGCCTTACGCCAACCTAAATCTTCTTGGTCATCATTTCTTCCAAAATTCGATACCCATTTTCAATCTCGATACAACTGCGCAACGACAGTACGGTATAGCATTTACAAAGAAGAAAGCTGAACTGGCTGCGCCGTCTTCTGCAGTCCAAGGAGCCAATGGTGCTGTTGCATGGCTTTACCTGACGACCACAAATGGCACAGTTGGAGACTACGAGAGTGTATACCGGGTAGACACTGCCGGGGGATCGCCCCCTAAGACTTGCGAAAACCAGCAGTCAGTCATTACAGTGCAATATGCAGCAAATTACTATTTCTTTGGGAAGTGAGGTGGCGCGAGCATTTCTATTTTTCTGGCTGTTGAATCATTTACATACCCGTATGTTCCTTGACTAGGATTCTTCTCACGTACGAGAATGAACTTTGGAGGTTATCGTGCTTCTGATTTCTCTGTAATACAATAATGCGAGATCCTGTAGCTCCTCTTCCACCTGTTACTTACCTAGTACCTATGTGATGGTCAAGAAACGATCCAATTGGACGAGGGCTTATACAAGTCAGGTGATCTCGCTATCACTTAATATCACGTGATTAGCAGGTTCCCACATCAGCCAGAGACCCGCTAAGCTGTTTTTGGATTAGCAGATTCTGATTTTCGAAAGATCCAAAGGCTCAGTCTGAAAAATCTCGACCGCAACAAACGACGAGCAGTACGGCCTCGACGGAACCCTGTAAGCAGACACGGTGCGGAATTTTCGCCTATCTGCTACCTAGAGGCAATTTATCATCCTCGACTCACCGTTCTTTCCAATCGCAACGGGCTTAGCTGTCGTTGACACATCAAAACTTTTTTTTTTTTCATCTTCGCTCCAACAGCAGCTCCGCGATTTGATTCTCAGCCCGTTATCTTGGCTGTGAAAACGACTTCGATCTCTCTCTCTTTTCGATAAATATATCATAAATTACAATGGCATTCGGTGGTCCTAGAGGAGGTGGCCGCGGCGCTCCCCGTGGTGGCCGTGGCGCCCCCCGAGGTGGTTTTGGTGGTGGTGGTCGCGGTGGCAGAGGTTTGTTCATCATCATATCCTCCTTTTGGGACAATAGGCAGGCATAGGCCCTTGAACCAGCAGTTTGGCTGTTCTCGTACGATTGCTTTCACTGGAACCACAACCCTGAAGCTTCAATGCGGTCGCCTGTCCTAGAATGTCCCCTGCGGGAAACGGCAAGCTAATGCGATCTCTTCTTTTATCTTCAGGCGGATTTGGAGGCGGTGATCGTGGCCGTGGCCGTGGTGGTCCTCGTGGTGGTGGCCGTGGTGGCCCTGCTCGTGGTCGCGGTGGCCGTGGAGGTCGAGGTGGTGCTCAGGGTGCCAGGGGTGGTGCCAAGGTCATCATTGTATGTCTCTTCTGTGGCTGGGAGCGATTGATGGGTCTGGATACTAATGTGGAAATTTGTAGGAGCCTCACCGTCACGCCGGTGTCTTCGTTGCCCGTGGTGGTAAGGAAGATTTGCTTGTCACCAAGAACTTGACTCCTGGAGAGTCCGTCTATGGCGAGAAGCGTATTGCTGTCGAGTCCCCCGCTGGTGAGGATGGTGCCGTCACCAAGACCGAATACCGTGTGTGGAACCCTTTCCGTTCCAAGCTTGCCGCCGGTATCCTGGGTGGTCTCGATGATATCTACATGAAGCCTGGCTCCAAGGTTTTGTACCTTGGTTCTGCCAGCGGTACCTCCGTCAGTCACGTCGCTGATATTGTCGGACCTACCGGAAACGTCTACGCTGTCGAGTTCTCTCACCGTTCTGGCCGTGATCTGATCGGCATGGCCACCCACCGCACCAACGTTATTCCCATCGTCGAGGACGCCAGACACCCTCTCCGCTACCGTATGCTCGTCCCCATGGTTGACGTTATCTTCGCCGATGTTGCCCAGCCCGATCAGGCCCGTATTGTCGGCTTGAATGCCCACATGTTCTTGAAGAACGAGGGTGGTGTCATTGTCTCCGTCAAGGCCAACTGTATCGACAGTACGGCCAAGCCCGAGGTTGTTTTCGCCCGTGAGGTGCAGAAGATGAGAGAGGAGAAGATCAAGCCCAAGGAGCAGCTGACTCTGGAGCCTTTCGAACGTGACCACTGTATAGTGTCTGGTATCTACAAGCGTTCTGCATAAAAATTTGGGGGTCTCATCTCTTTATCATGTTTCTAATCATCCCATGTTTGCTATTTTTCGGCGTCAAGTGTTCCGTGATATGTTGAAATGGCCCTTTCTTTTTCTGGTTTATGTCCATGTCCAGGTGTCCGTTTTTACAAATGTATTCTGTTCCAGTCGAAAAATCTTCCTGGTTTGCGGTTTCTGTCTAGAAAGAACACGCTTGGATGTTATTTTCTTGTGTTTTTTTTTAAAGTAAGAGATGAATGTGATGGTTCTCTTTCAGAAACTTACCTTTCAAGATGGCTCGAGGCTCATAAATTGGCTTTTGTTCACAGCGTAATCCCCAATCGGACTTGCGCCGGGTTGACTCTTCCATGGAACGGGAGCAGTTCGGTCGGACAGGTCTCCGACACTTGGAGAGTCGGAACATCTGCGGGATACCAATGCCTCAACAGACAATGTGAGGTAATTTCCGCGATGGCCACAGCTAATGATGGTAACGTTCATGGCGTCGACACGGAGAAATAATGGTGGACGTGGGGGTCATTCACACGTTCTCTCCACCGACCCCGCATATGTAGACAACAAGGAGACTATATAAACCAGCAGCAATGGGATCAATTGTCGGGGGGGAAATACAGTTACTGAAAAGGTCTGAGTGTCACCGTAATATCCACTTTCTCTTCTACTTCTGGTTTACATTCCTTCCGACTCAGGATCAAGGACTCAACGGCTTCCACCATGTCTATAATCATCACTGGAGCAGGCGGCTACGTGGGCCAGGAACTGGCTGCCGCATTGCTTGCGAGTGAACCTGATACCACAGTGATCCTCACAGACGTCGTCGCACCTCCTGTCCCCCCTTCCGCGGCACAACATGCATCGCGAGTCAAGAGCGTACAAGCAGACCTCACCGTGCCAAGCGTGGTCGACGAGCTATTCAACGAGTCACACCGCTATGATACTGTCTACCTTCTCCACGGGATCATGTCAAGCGGCGCAGAGGCCAACTTCGAGATCGGGATGCGGGTCAATCTCGACGCAACCCGGTACATCCTCGACAGACTACGCACTACCATGTTCGGGGTGAAGGTGGTATTCACCTCGACGCTGGCCGTCTACGGCCTTGCGCCCCCGGGCTTCGTCATCGACGAGACAAATTTCCCGCCTGTGCCCTCGTCCTCGTACGGGTCGGCGAAGCTCGTCATCGAGACGCTCCTGAATGATTACTCAAGGCGCGGGTTCATCGACGGCCGTGCCGTGCGATTGCCCACGGTGACGGTGCGAGCCGGCCAGCCCACCCAGGCTGCGAGCAGCTTCGCGAGCGACATCATTCGGGAGCCGTTCAATGGGAAAAAGGCAATTCTGCCGGTGAGTAAGAGCACCGAGCTGTGGATTTGCTCGCCGTACACTGTTGTGAAGAACCTGTTGCATGCGAGGACTATCCCCAAGGAGGCGTTTGGGGTTTCGAGATCGGTGAATCTACCAGGTCTGAAGGTCAGCGTTCAGGAGATGTTGGATGCGTTAGAGGAGATTGGAGGCACGGAGCGTCGAGATTTGGTGGAAGAGAAGTATGATGCGGATGTTGATCGGATTGTCCAGACATGGACTCCTAACTTCAACACCGCGCGTGCTATCAAGTTGGGGTTCTCAGAGGATGTTTCGATGGTGGAGAATATCAGGCAATATGCCAGTCGGTTTCATTGATTTCTATCGGGCTGATATTACAGTATGTATGAGGACAATCAATGCAATTTCTCTTCAATTCTCGTGTTTGTCGTTATTCTTTGCATTTTGAAAACGATTGATGTGATACTAGCAAGTCATTTACATAAACTCGAATCTACTCGCGTGGGAGCAGATCTATAATATGCTCAGGCTGGCATGCGATTTGCTTAGCTGGGGCTTTGTATGTGCTGCATACATTTGCTTTAAACGAGGCTGGATACTCACAAAGCATTCGTCCTCTGATATCTGCCTATAAAAACGGCCAAGAAGGTTCTTGAACACAGCTGACCTGAACAGGATGCCATAATAACTCGCGAGGAAATCCAACTCGGCAATACGATGACGGTGGGTAGCAGGCCACTTTGTAATGAGGTCCCAGGGGTTCTTGCTATCGGGCGGATACAACGTCTCGAACAAGATTGAATTCACACTCTGTATGCTCAGATCGGGGAGCATCTGCTGTGCAGGACATGCCTTCCTCATTCGTTGTCTCGACCGCGGGTGTTACCGGAGTCGAGGTTTGAGACGTGCCTCCCTGTTGCTGAGTAACGTTCAGTGCTGTCGATGGGTGGCAGGCCATTTCTACATTCTACACAAGGTCCCAAGGGTTCCTGCTGGGCGGCGCTTCGAATACAAAGTCTGTAAGCTTAGATAGAGGAACATGCGCAGTGCAGATGCCTTGGGAACTATGAGGCGGGCCGGATATTCCAGACACGGACTCCTAACTTCAACACAGCTCTTGCTGTCAAGTTGGGATTCTCATTCTCAGAGGATGTTTCGATAGTGGAGAATACCAGGCAAAATCCAGTCGATTTTCATTGACTTCTATCGGACTGAGATCAACTGTGTATGTGAACTAGAATCTGATCGCGGAGGAACGGATCTCTGAGAGCCGCTGCAGCGAAGAGCAGTTTGATAAAGTTGGGGAAGAACCTCAATGGTAGCTTTCCCTGCAAGGTACAAGTTCATGGAGTGAATAGCGAGGACAATAATCAGGCCCATCAAGCATGTCCATTCACAGGAAAAAGTGTTGGAGCACGGTGGTTTTTTGCAGTGAAGGAAACTGTCGGGATCGAAGGCAGGCGGTTTGGAAAAGCGGGTCATGTGATTGGCTGGCGAGAGCTGGCGAACAATTTGACTCCCGAACTTCAACCTCGCATCTCCAGGACTGCCCCATCTCCAGCAAACGTCCCTTTCAATTCCCCCCCTCTCCCTTCAGTCTCCCTCCAGTCTTTCACAATGGCCTCTCGGCGCCTAGCGTTCAACTTCAACCAGGCTCTGCGGAGCCGTGCTGCCTTGAAGGCCGTTCAGCCCGTGAAGCGTGGCTTTGCTTCTCCGGTCGCCTTGCCGTCCACCACCCAGTCGACGACTCTCTCCAACGGATTCACGGTACGAAAGAGAATTGAATTGCATCTCAATGGCTTCGCAAAGCCGCTAATCAACCATAGATTGCGACTGAATACTCCCCATGGGCTCAGACATCCACTGTTGGCGTCTGGATCGACGCCGGCAGCAGGGCAGAGACTGACAAGACCAACGGAACCGCACACTTCCTTGAGCACCTTGCCTTCAAGGTATATAACCAGCGAACATTCAGGTAGTGGATCGATTGCTGACGGAAATGTAGGGTACCAACAAGAGAACCCAGCACCAGCTGGAACTCGAGATCGAAAACATGGGTGCTCACCTGAACGCTTACACTTCGGTACGGCCCGGAACGATGATTGGATTGACCTTCCATCAGGACACTATTTGAACTAATTGGAACTTTTTCTTAGAGGGAAAACACTGTCTACTACGCCAAGTCTTTCAACAACGATGTCCCCAAGGCCGTCGACATCCTCGCCGATATCCTGCAGAACTCGAAGTTGGAGCCCGCTGCTATCGAGCGTGAGAGAGATGTGATTCTGCGTGAGCAGGAGGAGGTCGACAAGCAGCTCGAGGAGGTTGTCTTTGACCACCTGCACGCCACTGCTTTCCAGAACCAGCCCCTTGGTCGCACCATCCTCGGCCCCAAGGAGAACATCCAGACTATCTCCCGGGATAACTTGACCGACTACATCAAGACCAACTACACTGCTGACCGCATGGTTCTGGTCGGTGCCGGTGGCATCCCCCACGAGCAGCTCGTCAAGCTGGCTGAGCAGCACTTCGGTTCCCTCCCCAGCAAGCCCCCAACCTCCGCTGCTCTCGCTCTCACCGCTGAGCAGAAGCGTACCCCCGAGTTCATCGGATCCGAGGTCAGAATTCGTGACGACACTCTTCCTTCTGCCCACATCGCCGTCGCTGTTGAGGGTGTCAGCTGGAAGGATGACGACTACTTCACTGCTCTCGTCGCCCAGGCCATCGTCGGCAACTGGGATCGTGCCATGGGCAACTCCCCCTACCTCGGCAGCCGCCTCAGCTCTTTCGTCAACCACCACAACCTTGCCAACAGCTTCATGAGCTTCTCCACTAGCTACAGCGACACTGGGTAAGTTTATTATTTTTCAGAAGTATGGCAATGCCAGGCACAGATTGAACTAATTGAAATATAGTCTGTGGGGTATCTACATGGTCTCGGAGAACCTGACCAGGCTCAACGACCTGGTCCACTTCGCCCTCCGTGAGTGGTCTCGCCTGTGCTACAACGTCTCCGCTGCCGAGGTTGAGCGTGCCAAGGCTCAGCTCAAGGCCTCCATCCTCCTGTCCCTCGACGGCACCACTGCCGTTGCCGAGGACATTGGTCGCCAGATCATCACCACTGGCCGTCGCCTCAGCCCTGAGGACGTTGAGCGCATTATTGGCCGCATCACCGAGAAGGACGTCATGGACTTCGCCAACCGCAAAATCTGGGATCAGGACATCGCTATCAGCGCTGTCGGTTCCATTGAGGGCATCCTGGACTACCAGCGCATCCGCAATAACATGAGCCGTAACTCCCTGTAAACGAAATTACTGGTTTTTCTTGATGTCTCAGAATTCATGGCCATTGCCACCTGTCCAGTTATGTTTCCTTTGTTCCGTTGGCAGTTAATAGATCGAAGAGGTGGAAGTTGCGGAGGTAGCGTGTTCTGTACAGTACACAACTGTTGACTGATATACTCAAAATGTGTATTCTCTTTTACTTCAACTTTACCATTCCAGTACCCATTCTTAAGGGACCTACGCTCACAAACTGAGCATGCTTAGTTAATCCTTAGATGACCGCTGATACCAGTAACCCAAGCCTCGTGAAGATGCAATGCAATAACGATTATCGGTTCACTCGTCGGATACACCTCACTGGAGACCATTATCGAAATCAGAACCAGAATTACCATTACTCTTATTGTCTAATTAGCACTAATATGACCGACAGACAAACCCTGACCGCAACTACATTACTGAGGATAAGCCATCCCCGAAGGAGCCTGATACCCGCCCTGAAGGTTGTTCGACCGAGCCTCGACCTCCTTCTCGTTCTGCACGAGCGTGCAGCACGGGCAGAGGCAGGACTGCCAGCAATCTTCGAACCCGGAGCCCTGGATTCCAAAGCGTTCACGGAGTTGACCTCGTTTGATCATAAGCAGGACACAGGAGAGGCCGCAGTAGGCGGAGAGCGCGTAGAGGCAGCACTATGGGTACAGATGGCGGTTAGTATCGTTGCTGTTTGAGAAGACACTAGACAATGCATACATCGCCGTTGACGTAGCTGTGCTCCTTCAGAGCGGGATCCTGGAGGCGAGATTGGGTTTTGCCGAACAGGCAGCATGGTGCACACCAACCGACAAGACCTGAAGGGATAAATGTCAGCAAGTAGATCGTATATGAGATATGGGGTGACGGAGGAGGCGAGGCCATTTGAGGTCAAGGATCCCTTACAGGTTTCGGTGGGAGAGCAACAGTCCCAGAACGAGCTGGACCACTCATGAGAGTGCTGAGCAGCAGGGGCAAGCTGTTGGGGATCTTTGGTATCCATTATTGGGTATGCTTCAAGTGCAGGAAGACGGTTAAGAGTCCACCAAAAAAAAAACGATCCTACGACATCAAGTCCGAGGGGAAGCTAACAATTTAAACTGCAGCGATGGCAGTGCCTTAAGGAGAAGGGCTGTCTCGCAGGCTAAAGGGATCGTTTTTCTTTTTCTCTGCCGAGGAGACGAAACGCTCTCGCGACTCGTGAAGATCCCTCATCGGACTCTCACGTCGTACCTGAACCACGGCCTGCCACATGCAGGTCCCTGACCCATCTAATAGACTTCATGTTCTGCTTGGTCCAATGGTGGACGCAGTCAATCCGCTAAAATGCATGATTCGGAACATTGTGGACATGGTTGAGGAGTGAAAACTTTGTTTGACATCACAGAAAGCCAGTGAGGCTGTGATGCCCCCTTTTTTTGAGCAACTGTGTAAATCATCTCAAGCGATATGCGTTGTGAGCCTGTGTGTCTGCTTGTGGAAGAGCTGAACCCAAAACACGAGAACTAGCAGCGACTCCACAGTGTTAGTCAGAGTTAACCATTTCTTTTGGTACAAGCTTTCAAAGCAGTCAATTGGAACTGGATTCAAAGGAAATGATCAGCAAAGATCATTCGAAAATCGCTTAGAAGGGGTTAGATGAACGCCCAATCTCGTATCTCATGCGGCTCAACCGCCAGGGACCTGCCTACACAGTGTAGGGTTGACAGTGTCACGGGAAGTAGATGGGTTGGCATTTCCCTATACGAGGCCTAGAAAGACGACCCGCTAATCTCGACCAATTTCATTTTCATGCTTGGGCATTCAGGACAACTGAAAGATCAGAAGGATCAGACGGTTGTGTCAGGCACGCTGTTCAGGGGTGTGACAGGTATCTCTAGGAGTTCCGTGTCCTATACTGGGCTCGGGAAGGAGGAGAACAGCGAGAAGCATCGTCGCAAGTGTTCATTACAAGATTGAAAGGCATGACAGTAGCATCGGATACATCCCAGTAAGATTCTCATTACTGTCATCTAAAGGGCAACTAGTAATGAAGTTCATTGTCGCCCGTCGGAAAAAGCTCGGGATTAGGCAAACAGCAACAAACGCACTTCGATGCTGATACCGGCCGTCATCTCTCATTATTGCCGGTTCACCTTTGTCTAGTTTGGCCTCTCCGATAAGACTTCACGCTGCTAAAGTACGTCTCCAAACTAGAAAAAGAATCGTCGATGAAGTCATTGCAGGTTGTTGTTAATGTTTGTAGAGAGCATGAATAATCGAGAGACGGGCCGAATATTAATCCGAAGCGGGATGTTTTACTTTTTGGAGCTCCGCAATGAAGAAATAATTATTGCTGCGCAAGAGCAGGCCGAGAATATCTTTGTGCCTCGGCTTCTCATCCCAATCATATCACTTGATTACCATGGCTAAGCGTGGTGGTAGAAAGGTGAGCATCCCCGATATCAATTGGTCTCGTCTCGACCAGTGTGGAAATTCGTCGCAGCTAACATACTTTGTTGCAGGGTGGCCGTGGCGGCGGTGCGCGCGGGCAGCGCCAGAACTACGCGGATATTCCCAAAACGAATGAGAAGCTCGAGCGCTTTTATACTGAACAAGGCTTCATTCCCGAGGAAGAGAGGGAAGCATTCTGGGAAGCTCTGCGGAGGGACCTTCCCAACAGCTTCCGATTCACTGGTTCAAAAGGGTACGTAATGGCAGGCCGAAATTTCCCAACTGCATTGAACTCTGACATTTGGAAGACACGCGCTTGCTGTCCAGGAGAAGCTCAAGAATCACTATATTCCCGAAATCACCTCGATCCAGTATGAGGGTAACTTTGTCGAGCCGCCACGCCCTGTTCCTTGGTACCCGGACCAGCTCGCATGGTGGATGACCACCCCCAAGAATGTCGTCCGGCGGTTCAAGCCTTTCGCCTCATTTCAGAAGTTCCTTGTCGCCGAGACGGATGTTGGAAATATCACTCGACAGGAGGTTGTGAGCATGATTCCCCCGCTGCTCATTGACGTCAGACCTGGCATGACCGTTTTGGACATGTGCGCCGCACCAGGAAGTAAGTCAGCGCAATTGATGGAATTGCTTCATGCGGGGGAGGAAGATGCGATGCGCCAGGTGGCTCAGCAAGTGAAGGAAGGGACTGCAGGGCCGGAACCTATAGGGCCGGAGGGTCTCAACGACGATGGCAGAACCACTGGTCTTCTCATCGCCAACGATTCCGACTTCAAACGTGCACACATGCTTGTCCATCAGATGAAGCGACTGAGCTCCCCGAATCTTATCGTCACGAATCACGACGCCACGATGTATCCCTCCATCAGATTGCCTCCTCTCCCAGAATCAGACGGCAAGCCCCAGAAGAACAGATACCTGAAATTCGATCGCATCCTTGCCGATGTCCCTTGCACCGGTGATGGTACTGCCAGGAAGAATATCAGCGTATGGAAAGAATGGGGCCCTGCCAACGCCCTGGGTCTGCACGCCACACAGGTTCGAATTCTTGTTCGTGCTCTGCAGATGCTGAAGGTTGGTGGACGGGTGGTCTACTCCACTTGCAGCATGAATCCTGTCGAGAACGAGGCTGTCGTTGCTAGTGCTATTAACCGCTGCGGAGGCTCGGCCAATGTTGAAATCCTCGATTGCAGCGATGAATTGCCCGGACTGAAGAGAGCTGCTGGCGTGCGGACATGGAAGGTCATGGATCGTGAGGGCCGTATGTACAACAGCTGGAAAGAGGTCGAAGAGCAAAGGGAGCGTGAAGGCATCAACGGCCTGGGCCGGATCGGCGAAGGCATGTTCCCGCCTACCGGAGAGAATGCAGACTTGCCTCTTGAGAGATGCATCCGCGTCTATCCTCATCTCCAAGATACCGGCGGTTTCTTCATCACTGTCCTTGAGAAGAAATCTGAAATTCGCGCCAAGCCGGAAGACTCCTCTAAGGTCATCCCCAAGGCCTCCATTGCGGCTCTGACTGAGGAGCTGGATTTCAAGCAGAAGCATGGAAATGCGCGCCCTCTTGAAAAGCTTAATGCCTTAGACGATCTGGTTGCCCCCGATCAAGAGGCCCAGTTGGAGATGGATAAGAACGCTTCTGTTGCTGAAGCGACGCACCAAGTGCCCTACTTCGCAACGAACCAGATTTCGCCTGCAAAGAGAGATGCAGAGGACATGGAAGATGAAGTTCCATCCAAGAAGACCAAAGTGGAAGACGGTACTGAAGTAGTACTGGGAGATCGTCCTATCCACCGTCCTCCGCCTGAGGCAGAGGATCCTGACGTCTCTGAGAGCACCCCTACTCCGCTCCCCACGGAGACCCCTCAGGCAGAGTCAACCGAGACAAAGCCCCAGCCCCCGCAGAAGCGGAAACCCGGCCAGCCGATTGAGGAACCATTCAAATATCTGGATCCCGATAACGAGGAAATCGACCCGATTTTCAAGTTCTACGAGATATCCGAGCGGTTCCCACGTGACCGTTTCATGGTCCGCAACGCGCAGGCGACCCCTACGAGGACTATCTACTACACCAGTGCACTGGCGCGTGACATCCTGACGGCAAACGAGGGACATGGCATGAAATTCGTGCATTGCGGTGTGAAGATGTTTGTCAAGCAAGATGCCCAGCGCCCCAACGTCTGCCGCTGGCGCATCCAGACCGATGGGTTGCGCATCCTTGAACCCTGGGTGGGTCCTGGTAGGGCGGTCGTCCTGACTAAGAAGGAGACCTTGCGCAAACTCCTCGTGGAGATGTTCCCCAAAGTTGCCGATGATAGCTGGAAGGACCTTGGCGAGATCGGCGAACGTGTGCGGGATATCGAAATGGGCTGTAGCATTTTGTATGTTCAGCCGGAGGAGAATTTCAGGTATGTCAAATCACTTTTCATATGGCGGCAGGGTCTCCCTACAGTCACCAGCAGCAGCACCACCAACAGATGACACTACCACCAAGCCCCATCATCCCGACTCTATCCGCCCCATCATCTCACATCTCCTATTAC